GTATCTGATTTGGGGGACAAAAATCAGATATTATATCTGATTTACATAGTTTGACCGCTATTTCGTCTTTTAGTGTCTGAATCAATTTGATAATTAAGGGGTGTTTTTAATAAATAGGAGACGATATTTAAACTGTTTTTTTATCCTTTTAAGACCAAATGTTAGGGTTTAGTTTATAAAATAAAACATGATAATTGTGGACACGAAAAAAAAAATTATCTTATTTGGGAGACAAAAATCAGATATTATATCTTATTTACGTAGTTTGACTGTTATTTCGTCTTTTAGTGTCTAAATCGATTTGACAATTAAGAAGTGTTTTTAATAAATATGAAACGATATTTAAACTGCTCTTGTTTTACCTTTTTAGAACCAAATGTTATGGTTTTAGTTTATAAAATAAAACCATGATTATTGTGGACATGAAAAAAAGTATTTTTATCTGATTTGGGGGACAAAAACCAGATATTATATTTGATTTACGTAGTTTGATCGCTATTTTGTACTTTATATGTGTTTCCTGTGTTCGAAGTAAGCCGAAACAGAAGAAGGAACTGTTTACTTTGATTTTTCTTTGAATATATGTGGCTGTTAAAGTTATCATTTACTTGACAATTCAAGGTGAGTCTTTACTTTAAAAGCATCTTTTGATATGCTTTATTATGAACCCATATGATTTCAAATAGGTTTTTTAGAAATGATTATGTGATATTTAATTAGCATAATTTTAGGTTGTTATATGTTATTATCAACTGATTGGGATAATTGTGGCATAATCTAGAGAAGTGTATATTGGGATAAGGGTGACATAATCAGGAAAGATGTATATTTTGAAATAAGGGTGACATAATCAGGAGAGGTGTATACTGAGATAAGAGTGACATAATCATCTGTATATTAAAATGGGATTTTGATCATCTGGGAAAATGTTATCGTATCTTTGTGATGCGATGAGATGGGTTTATCGCATCATAATGGTATTATCGTATCCTTATGATGCGAGGAAGAAGTTTATCACATCTGTGGGATGCGAGGAGGGTCCTCATTGCATCAGTATGATGCGACAAAAATGGTTATCGCATCTGAATGATGCGAGGAAATATGTTATCACATCTAAATGGTGTGAGGAGTATATAATCGCATATGAATGATGCAACAAGTTGGTCATTTTGTATTTGATGCAATAAAAATGGGGTTGTCTCATCTATATGATGCGACAAAAGAGGTTTGATACAATAAAATATTATTTACATGTTATCATTTCAATATTGTTTTTTCCAAAAAGTATTTTGGTGATTTTCATCCTGTAGTTGCAAATAAGGGAACTACTCATTAGACCTTGAGATCTAACTCTCATTTTGTGTTTAAAAATGTGCATTATAGGACAAGCACCAATGGAAGGTAAAGGGAAGGGGAAGATGTGAAAGGGAATTATTATTGTTTTACATTTGTGGAAATTTTGGGAAGCTGAATATGTGCATGTACTTGAGGATGTGTTATATACGAGTCATGTATTGTATGTGAATAAAAAGTTTGTAACTACTTTTGTATGTGGCAATTTGTATATACTAGGACCAGTGTGTAATGTTGTATTTCATGTTATATGAAATATGTGTTTTATGCAAATGGGAGTTGGGGTGTTACACAAATAGAGGGTGACAAACAAAAAATCAAAAATCCCAAATAATAATCCACACTAAGAACCCAGATTATGTCAAACAAACATACATGCAAAGAAACAGAACACCAAAAATCCCAAATGATAACCCATACTAAGAACCCATATTAGGTCAAAAAAACATACATGCAAAACTCAAAAAGGAAAAAAAAAACAACTAATAACAAACAACAACTGCAATTTCAAAATTTTCAATGTCTCTAGCTTTGATACATGTTTCAACTCTGTTCTTTGATCTTAGTAACCCAAGGATGACATCGACGGACCGAGAACAAACTGGAGCATCAAACCACCCAAAAGATAAACATTCTTGACCCTATTAAGGAGAAAAATATGGAGATGTAAAAAAAATGGAGAAAGCTTAGTTTACCATTCGTGGACAAACATAGAAGCTTTGACCAGGGTCTGCATTTGTCCATGATGTTCTTAGAGTGGCTTCACATCCACAATAGCATAGCACCATTTCATAGGAAAGAGAAGAAAAAGAAGTTTACAGGTCGATTCTTAAGGTGTGATTAAAAAAGGAGGGAAAACATTTACGGACCATTTTACCCCTGGCACTAACGATGGAAATAAACGGAGTTCAAAACAAATTTAAAACCAGAAGGACCACTTCTTGAGTTATTTGATGTCTAGGTCTCACTTTCAAATATTTCAGATAACCCTAGGGACCAAAAGTAAAGTTACTCCTTTTTTTTAATTAATGTAGAGGCAATTTGTAGCAAACATAAACTAACTTATTTCTTGAGTATATGTTTGAATAATCATAAAATTGTTGATTGAAACGTTAGTTGAAGTAGTATTTTAGAGTTTATTTTAACTTTTCTCTAATTATACGCTTAATTAGTATTAATTGGTAATTATTAAAATTAATTATTGTTATAAAATAAAACATGATAATTGTGGACACGAA